AAGCAAAACTGGCGATATCGCTCGTAGTGTTAAGAGAGTAGTATTGGTATCGTACTTTGGAAATGAACAAAATGCATATCTAATCAGATATACAAAGCAATTTTCCGCAATGACTTATTAGTATCAATTTTTGACATTGTTAAACATATGCCTATGATAGACGTCATCGTATTTATTGAGTTATCAATAACAAAGATTGAAAAATATATTGAAGAAATAGGGTCAATAAATTTATGATGTTTATTTAAATATGATGAATTGCAAATTAATGAGCGACAACAAAGTGATAACCCTTATCGAAATATATTATCGAGAATTCGACTAAGAATTGTTACAGCTTCGGATGCAGCTGTTTTAAATACGATAAAAATACAATTTACAGAGGCTATTGTATGTACAGAGCTATTTGTGATGATCGATTACGAGAATTATGTAATTATTTCGAAAAATGCCATGGAAGCAGTTTGTTTACTTTCAACTTGTGCATTATGTGATACTTTGAACGTTACAATGTTAAATCGAATTTCTTCGGACAAAGTAGGACTCATTGCTCAAGATATAACAGATTGTGTAAGTAAGAATGATGTAGACAGTTCTCGAACAGCTGACTTAGCGAAAATTATAATTATAAAACTAGGCGCACGTGTAATGATTAGAAGAAATATCGATGTTACTTTAGATCTTGTAAATGATATAATTGATACATTTACATTCGTATGAAAATAAAAATAATGCTTTCAGAAGTAGAACTTGTATTAGAACGTATTAGCGTTAAGTTTGAAGTAATGGCATATGTTAAGAAAACAATTTCCAATATACTTAAGTTACGGTATGACTATTCATAAAAGGATTGAGTTTGAAACATGCTATTGTAGAAGCTAGAAATTATATATCCAGTTGTGAACTATACGTTGCTCTTTCAAGTAACTACTTTAAATGAACTATATCTTATAAATTATGATCCTTTATCTGTGAAAGCAAATGAATTTAGTTAGAATAGAATGTTATTACATAAAAACTGGAGTTTCTAATAATTGGAATGTGTAATAATAGAATGTTTTGAAAAGCATATTTTTTTTAATATAAAAAAATCCCATAAGAAATATTTGTTATTTGTTGAAAAACAAAAAAAGTTAATAAAAATTTGTTAAATTATTGTCAACAAAATTCATAGATAAAATATTTCATTGGGCACATATTTTTCATAACTTTGACACGCTTTATTGCGATCGACACATTCGCTTTTGGTAATCATTCGGTTCCCCATCCAAGAAATTTGATATAGCCGATGAAATCAAAACTATACGTTAATTGAGTGAAAATTGTCAGCGAGAGAAAAGCGAATGGCGGGAGGAGTGGAAGGGAAGGTGGATGAAACGGATACGAGATCGAAAGCTCATATAAGAAAGGATAGTCGAGGATATAGCCGGGGGGGGGGGGGGGGA